TGGGGAATGAGTGACCTTAGCAATTGCCAGCAAGGGGACTCCGTATGATGAAAGCAGGTGAAAGGGAAAATAAGGGCGGAACGCAGCAAAGCCAATTCATACCTCAGAGGAGGTGTGGTCCTGTCCTCTACCTGGCTGTGGTCACAGTCTTGTGAAATATAAAAGGAAAAGGCAGCTGTTCCTTAAGCAATCTGGTGCCAGGATCCTGTAGCGAGAAGGAAGGGAGGTGCTGGAAGAAATGCAGAGCAAGATATCTAGAGTGTCAGCTGGAAAAGGTGTGGGACACACCAGTGCTCTGAGCCTCAGGAACACCATCAGTTCTTCCCTGAAGGCCCTTTTGCTGGGCTGAGGGTTGCACGGTAGCTGCACTCCCTTCCCCAGAAGGCTGGCTTGGAGGAGGAGGGAGCTGTCATGTCCCGAGGAGGAGCAGCAGGACGTGGCGCTGCCAAGCCCCAGGACCAGGGATGGGCATGGATGGTCCTGCTGGCTGCAGTGGTGCTGCAGGCGCTGACACTGGGCTTCTCCTCCTGCTTTGGGGTCTTCTTCACGGACCTCCAACATGAGTTCCATGCCAGCAACAGCGAGACATCGTGGTTCTCGTCCATCATGGTGGCTGTGCTGCACGGAGGGGGTGAGTAATGCAGGGAATGGCCTCCTCCTCCTCCTGCCCTTGTGCTGCTGGTGGGGGGATGTAATGAGGACACTTCTAGCATTTCATTAGGTGGGCAGTAGAAGGGACTGGGAGGTTGAGCAGATTGACTGGTTGGCAGCGCACAGCATCTCCCAGCCACTTGGATCCCGCAGTCCAAAGTTAAGTGCCCACAGATACCCTTCTGTCACTCTCAGAGTCAACCAAAACCCTTTGTCAAAGAAAATGAACCCCTTTCTCAAGCCCAGCTTTTCCAGACCAGCAATAACAGAAAGTTGTTTCCCACAGCTCCTTGAATAAAGCTGGCATGTAGTGCTGGAGTTTGGGTGCTTTCTTGGTTCATCCTCTGTCCGTGACAGCACACCTCCTTCCAAGTGCCACATGACAACTGTGTTCTTCGGGGCTGGAGAGAGGCCAAAAGCCAAGCTCCTCCAAGCTGCCAGCTGAGGCAGAGGCTTAAAAGCAGCTCCTTGGGCGGTGGCATGGAGCTCACACCCACGCAGGGTGGACGAGAGCAGGGCTGGATCGATGCAGAATCTGGGTCAGGCGGCACCTTCTGGGTGGAGGGGGGTTGTAGTATGTGGATAGTGGAGGCAATCATTGTTTTTTCCCCCTCCACAAAGAAAATGAGGGAGCAGCACAGGACAGTGGTCCCCAACTGCACACACAGATGGGGGGATTCTCTTCTACTTCTGCATAGAGGAGAAAAACAAATCCCTGGCAGCTCGAGGGCTTCCCAAGGAGTGGTCCATGTTTCAGTGGCCCCTCTGTGTGCAACTCCTGTACTCATTTGATAAACAGATGACCCAAACCCCACCAGGCAAAAGAAGCAAAGTACCCAGTGTTGCCCATGTATCCAAGCTGCTCCTTGAGTTCACACCTGCTCCCTTCCAATGCTGGTGAAAGTTGACAGTACATTATATATATATAAAAAAAGAAAACGAGCAGCCAGGGTCATGCTGATGTGAAGGCTGTGGCAGGTTCAGTCTCTCCTGTGCAGACTTGGCTGAGAGCCACCTGGTATGGAATTGAGAGTTTGCACCTTAGCAGGAACAATTGGGTCCAAAATATCAAGGTGCAGATGGAAAGAGATCGCAGGGGAAGCAAGAAGGGGAAGAATCATCACTGCAAATCAGCAGAAATAGAGTAGTGTCCTTGAGGCTTCAAATTCCAAAGCTTGTGGGCATTCCCTGTGCTGCCTTCCATCCCCTGTGGTCCTGCTGTGGTTAGTGGGAAGGATCCAATTGGGACCTGCTGGCTTTAGGAAATGCTCTCAGAAGCAACTTGGTCCCAACATATCCAGGAGGGAGAACTCTGGCAGTATCCACAAGAAAGTATCAATTATCCAATCATCTTTAATGAAGTAATTGTTGTGTAGGAAGCTGGAACCACAATAAAAGCTGATATAAATACAGCCAATTAATTGATCCAAAAGTTATAAATTAGGCAAGGAAAGAATAGCCTCATGTTAATGACATTCACAATAGATTTTGTCAGGGCACAGCCAGAGGGTTGTACTTTCCTTGCCAGTTATCTCTCGTCTTGCAGGCTGCTACAGCACAGAGGTGCTTGTTCTTGTTCCCCAGTAGCACAAGGCAGCAGTAACATGACCATAAACCAGGAAGGAAAAAAACAACAAAATAAACAGATCAAAACCCCCCTCTCAGGCCAAACACGTGTGGCTTTTGCTGCAACTTCTGATCTCCCTTGCACTGGGCCAGGCTCCTTTTGATTCAGGTTCTCTGGTTACAGCCATCATCTCAGCACTTAAACCTTTCCCAGAATTGCACCCTGCTGTCACCAGTGTCTCTTAGAGGAGATTCTCTCTTTTCTTTGCCTTTATTCTTTTTAATTCAGAGGAACCAAAGGGGGGAAAAATAATATTTGCCTCAAAAATTGGTAAAGAGGGAAGGAAATGGTCAGAGCAGCCCGTTCTCAGGGCGGTCAGTGCAGGGAAGAAGATTCTATGCAGGAGAGCTGGCTGCAGCTCCACAGAGCTATGGAAGGAAACAGGGAAGGGCACAGCACAAATAACAGCTCATATGTCAGTCAAACATATCTCATTACCTGTGCTACTTTCCTAGGTAAAAGCCATTAACGACTATTTTGCTATAAAATCATTTGAGAGAGCTCAGGATCCTACATCTGCCTCCAAAAGTGGATTTCAGGCCCTTACAGGTTCCTGCTCCTGGTTATTCATGCACATGGAACTTTCTGGACTCACTCATACAAATGCAGCACTTTTGTTGATATTATTTTTGCAAAGGAAAGCACAAAAGCCCCAGGCAAGTGAGGAAATAACGTTTGAAACACAGACAGCAAGTTATCAGGAACAAATAATGAAAAACCCTTATGGTTTTTAGAGCCAATCTCATTATTTTGGAGTGTTTAATTTATGCCTTCTGGCTACTTGGGTTGGTTAAACAGCAGTACCATCCCTAATGTCTTCAGCAGGAGGAAAAATAATCCAGTCACGTTTGCAGAACACTTTTTCAAAGGCCAGCAAAGTCTGAGGCGAAAATCTCCCAAGCAGATCGAAATACAGACAGCTGCACTCCTAATTTTAATAATGTTCCACTGTTCACTTGACTGTATGGATTTTATTTCAAACCAGATATCGTTTTAGGTCACAAATATGCCACAGGTTATTTTCTCTGCACTAACTGACTCCTAATTCTGCAGCTTACAGTCATTTGGCATTTGCTTATATAACCTTAAGTGTTCAGAATTGGGGGGAAAAAATACATGGAAAATCCTGAGGATCCTCAAAGGAACAGGAAAAGAAACTCTACCTTCAAATCCTCTTCTGCCAGAACATACAGAGAGAAGCACATTCTTCCCATTGACAGTCTGCAGGTCTGAACTCATCTTTCCCTATCCCAAAATGAAGGCTGCCTAATTTCATTAACAAACCACTTATTTACCACAACCTCACGGAATTCAACAAAAGTCCATTTCCAAGTCCATTTAATGAAAATCCATCACATCCTACTCGATGGCCAAAATCACAGCAGATCTCAGGAGCCTTTCCCTCAGCTAACAAGTTGACCAAGCACTTGGGAGGATCAGGCAGTGTATTTTTAGTTTCTGGCTCCCCCAGCTACATAAAGCTGCTGGAACAACCCTCAGGGTCTCTAGACTAAGTCGTTTGACAATTGCAGCAATCCAGCAGGTACAAAATATTTCCTTCCTCCCTGACTGATTCCCTTTTTTCTTCCCTGCTTCCAGGGCCCCTCTGCAGCATCCTGGTGAAGCGATTTGGCTGCAGGTTTGCAGTGATGCTGGGGGGGCTGCTCAGCGGGCTGGGAATGGTGTCCAGCTCCTTCTGCAAGTCCATCACCCAGCTCTACCTCACAGTTGGGCTCATCACCGGTACGTGCCAGCGAGCAGCAGGAAAACCCAGCTGTGTGCTTGATGGGGAGAAGGGGAATGGGGAGGGTCCTGACTAAGTGCTCACATTTTTCCATTCATCTGGGAAAAAGGAGAATGCAACATTCCCCAGTGCAGCAGGAATCCTACAGCCACTAGACTTGGCCTTCACACCCCTTTAACACACTCATCCAAGCTCACCGTGAAATGCTTCTCTCTGGAAAAAGCTATAGGTCTCCAGAGGGGAAAATGGAGAGCAAAGATGTCTGTTCCTTTTAGTAGCTTCTTGGCCTTTTGTCTTTCAGTAAAGCAGGATTTTTTGGTTGTTTTTTTCTTTTCAATCTTGGAACATAATGTGTTGGGATAATGTCCTTCCCAGTTTCCCTGGGTTTATATTTCACCACTCCCAATCTGGGGAAATGTGGAGACAACTTTTTCTAACAAAAGACCATGTTGGTTTTGAACAGAAGTAACAGATGGGAACTTTTCCTTTCCAAATATTTCTCCTGTGTGACTGACGTTCAACTCTTGGTTTTTAATAACACAAAGAGATTAATTCCTTACTTTGGGACCCATCCTGCTGGATCTTGCAAGCTATGCTGTGGCCACTGCATAGGGAGAAAAACAAGCAACTCCCTGAGCCCTGATGAAAGTGTCAGGAAAGCAGCACTGCTTGTTGCATGTGGTATAAAAACCAAGTTTTTAATGAACAATTCCATAACAACTTAAGGAATAGCGACATGCCCCAGACAAATGTCAGTTTAGGTCAGTATATTTAGTATACCCAAGAACACAAATAGTTTAATTTACACACAACATCCTTCTCTGTTCCTGGTGTGGGTTTCTGAGTATTAATCAACCCCTGGGCCAGGCTGCAGCCTGGCAGGTGAGGAAATCCTTCAGTGGCAGATGAAATCACCTGTGGGTACACCCTGAATCTGTGCTGTTTTCACCCTTTAAGACAACACAGAGGGATCACATGTGGTCACTTACTCTTTTATTCTCACCTTTAGGTCTGGGATCATGTTTCAGCTTCCAGGCAGGGGTGACTGCGCTGGGCTACTACTTCATGCGGTGGCGAACGCTGGCCAACGCCACGGCCTCCACCGGCGTCTCCCTCGGCTTCACCCTGTGGCCACTGCTGTCTCAGTACCTGCTGGATGAGATGGGCTGGAGAAACACCTTCCTCATCTTTGGAGGAATACTCCTGAACTGCTGTGTTTGTGGAGCCATCATGAGACCCATCGGGTCACTTCCACAGCCACCCGAGCCTGGAGAGGAGCCAGGCAGCAAAGCAGAGGAGGCACAGCTGTCCAACGGAGTGTCTCCTCCCCACCCCACACTCCAGCAGCATGCCAGAAGGACAACATGTTTCCAGGTGCTGCAGAAGTATCTGGCTTTTGACATCTTCTGCCAAAACAAACGTTACCAGATTTACACTATTGGAGTGGCCTGGACGATGATGGGGTTTGCGTTGCCCCACGTCTACCTTGTGCCTTATGCCATCCACAATGGGGTGGAGGAACGCAGGGCAGCTCTTCTTATCTCTGTCATCGGGTTCATCAACATCTTCATCCGCCCTCTCACAGGGCTGCTCTCGGGGCACAGGGTGTTCACAGGGAGGCGCATCTACCTGTTCAGCCTGGCCGTGCTCCTCTGCGGGCTGAGCAACTTCATCTGCATCATTTCAGCCGAGTTCAGAGTCCTCATCCTCTACTGCGTCATCCTCAGCATCGCCATGAGCGGGGTCGGGTCACTCACCTTCCAGGTGCTGATGGATGTGGTGGAGATGGACAGGTTCTCCAGCGCTCTAGGGCTCTTCACCATCGTGGAGAGCATCACTCTCCTCATCGGGCCCCCACTCACAGGTGAGAGAACCTATGCAAGGAAAAAGCTGGCACAGTGGCAGTGGCACAGGGGTTGTCTACTGGGTAAACGAAATGAATCAGCAGTTTTGGGGGGAAATTACAATTTCCTTTCTTTTCTGATTTCTGTGTGTATTGAGAAATACTTTCAACAGAAGCAGAAACATCACCTGAATGGTGACTACAAAAAAAACCCAAACCAACCAACCCCTAGAATTTAGAGAAGAGAACTTAACCCATCAGAGAATGCTTACCTTTTGTGTATGGTAATTTACTGAATTATTTAGGTTTAACATTCGTGTCAATTTATGCCTTTAGTGTGCATCTTCTCTTTGGCTTCTATTTCAGGTCTCCTGGTAGACATAACCGGTGATTTCCTCTACGTCTTCCACACCTCGAGCTTCTTTCTGATATCTGCTGCATTATTTATGGGGCTCAGCTTCTGTGCTCTGGAAAAAAAAACCAAATTGAGAGAGGCTTCCAAAGTACCTTTGAGTAATCCCTCCAGATATCCATACAGCGAAAAGCCAAGTGATCCACAGGCTGAAAGTCAACCCCCTCCAACAGTCGTGTACATCACCAGCATATGAAAATAAAGAAGGGAAGAAATGAGCAACACAGTGATGTGGTCTGTACAAAGCTACACATGACCCAGCACTGACGGCTTATGAGAAAAAAAAAAGTCTGCTTTCCACAAATGTCATCTTCCTTCTGCACTTCTACTCCCAGGGGCCATGTCAGACTCCAGAGAAGGATCCAGACCACGGGATGAGCCCCAAACCCAGCACCAGCCAAGGAGAGGAAGGACAGAGAGATCTCCTAAAGCAAACCATGGGACAACAGCCACAGAAGGAGACAAAAAGCTGTGTCAGTTCAATTGGGTTAAGTCACTACCTTTAAGAAATCATTGGAAGTGCTGGACAGCATGGATTAATGGCTATGCATAAGAGTAGTTCTTTCACTTGTAATTTTGCTGCACAAGTATCCTGGTTGCTTCCTATGCTGCAGGTGGCAAGACACTTTCTACAGGAAGAGTGCAATTATTTTCCACATCTCTAAATATTATCTGAAAGCAGCTGCATGGGTTGCAGAACTCAGACAAGTCTCTAGAAAGACCAATTATTTTCTCCTACAAGGTATATACACGAATTCTTCAGGCCAAGAGCAGTTTCAAAGCCTGAAAGGTTCAACTCTAGAGCATCAAAAAGAAAAAAAAACACCAGAACTTGGAGTGCCTGCTTTGTATAACTAGTGATATCTCAAGTGCTGCTTGATATATCATAAAAGAGGATTCATGGCTTCTGTAAACACACTTCAGCATTACCTGGAACCCATTTGGGGGAGAGAGCAAAGGTGTTACCATACCTAAGCATAACTGGATGCCTCCTTTTATAGGGCCAAATTCCAAGCAACTGTGGAAATTAATTCAGCTCTTTAGTCTTAGATTTTCAGACTTAATTGCACCAGCATGATCATTATAGAGAACTTTGTACAAGCATAAACTTATATTTCTTCTAATCACAAGCAGAACTTACAAAGAAATCTGTGGGAGAAGGTATATTGAGGAAAGCCAGTGTTGCTGACTTTGCTTTCCTTACAGCCTTGACTGCAAGTGGCTTTTCCTGCTACATTCCCAGGAGTCAGGCTTCTCACTGCTCATGTGGTGGCTGCATCAGACTCAGCATCAGCTTGAGGTGCAAATTGTTCATATTCTGTATAATTCCTGATCAAACAGAAGCAGGTAAGAGCTCACAAAACACGGCAGGTGAAAATTACCCAACACATTAGAACCATCAGAAAGATGGAAGCATAAAATGGGAGTGAAATGGAAAAAGGAACAGCTTTCAACTGAACTACGGTGCTTACCTTGAGACCTGTTATACCAAACTCAACTGCAGTGCCTATCTAAGAACTGCCATATCAAATTCCTACCAACAAACCCACAGTTTTCTTTAAAGCTCCCCAGACAAAACAAGCCAACCAACCAAAAATCTGAATTGAACCACTGGAAAACTGACTCCAAGATCTTCAGAGACTACAATGGCTTCACAGCTGGCCTTATACAGAGGAGGTATCAACCCTTCAGAAGGATTTCTACTTCCACAGCTCAGTATCTTCGCCCTAGGATTATGGAAGCAGTAGACTTTGCATTTCCTGATCAAACCTATACTTAAATAAGATGATTAGTGGGAGATATACATATCTAATCTCTCATCAAATGTGTTTATTAAATTATGTAATGCTTACATGGTCCATAGCTACAAAGTAAGCAGGGACTGGTGCTTCTCAACTGGTCAAAACAGACTGTTGTACATTCCTAGGAAAATGATGGGGCTTTCTCCCTCCCAAAAAGCAATGAAGAAGGATCAAGTCCCAAATCTCTTCTAGCTATTGCAAATAAACAGCTAAGCAGCTGAACAGATTGATATCTTTTCTGTGTGTAATTCTTAAATTTTAAATTCTCTTCACCTTTCTACATTCCCTTTCTGTTTTCTTACAGAAATATGGGGTTATACTGACCCAAATCCTCCCACCACCACAAATGTCCTATGCAAAACAGGTAAAATATGGTGAAAGCCACAACCCACCAAAATTTATCACAGGGAAACAAAGGTTAGTTGAAGGAGCAAGGGAATGCAGCTCCTGCGTGGAGCCAACTGTTTTACCTGCAATTCTTTATCTCTGGATGGCTCATGAGAAAGGACATGTACAGTCTGTGCTTCCTTGGAAGGGAGGACAAAATAACAGGTACTCCCCAACTGAAGCTGACACAGAGATCAGCTCCTCCTACATCACACCAAAGAAAACTGGTTTGACTATTTCTTAGATGTGCACAGAAATGCAAGGATGGAAAGTCAGGAGAGTGCTTCCTAGAACTGCTTTTTGATACTCCCAGACTCATCACTGGGGTAACTGGGACTTATTTGCAGAGGCAGAGAAATCTTTCTGGTAAGAAAAGCAATGAATTCATAAATCCATCATTTTAAGGTTTCTCAACTTGTTGATTACAACCTTTCTAACAGCCTTACAGAATTTAAGCTGTCTGAAAACAGGGTTGTCTCCCCTCATTACTTTTCACAGACCCTTTAGCAGTAATCCACAACTCAGAGGTTGGAACCAAATCCTGCACAGAGAAGAGGTAACTTTTTAGGTTGTGTTTCCACAGGTGAGTTAAGATGTCTGAGCTGCCATAGCAGAGAAAACAAAAGTTCAAGAAGTACCTGTTCTCACTGAAACGAAACATTCACCAGGAAATTCACACTTGCAAGATGGTGATCCTTAAAAGCCTTAGATATTCTGCCAATGTAATACGTGGGAAATATTAATATTTGCATTTAATGTGGATATTATTTATTAATATTTAATATCAATAAACCCCAAATAAAAGTCACTGTAAACTTATACACTTTAAAAAACCTCAGAAGTGCAAAATCACTTGATTTAAGAGCTTGGCTTGCTGTTTGCAGACGTGGCTCGTGGCTGTAAGAAAAGAAACAACTAATAGATGAAAATTCCCTGAATTCTGGATTTGGTGTGCTATCTACCCAAGCTATATCAGTCCACACTGTGCAAACTACTCTAGCAAACAGCAAGTGCTTGGAGCATTCAGACCATTAAACTATACAGCCACTACTGAGTGAGTAAATGCAGTACTTATAAACAGAAGTAATAGCATTTTTCCTCTTTAAACACAGTTTCCCCCCTCTTATTAGTCAATCCCAGTATTGCTCTGTTTGTATTGACTGGCTCCCCTGTGCTTTCTCTGCTCCTGCTTTCTCACATTACTCATTCACTTTCTACTTAACGACAGATGTGGCTTTAAAGTATGTCAACACTTACCACTTAAAAAGGTACACATTAAAAGAGATTTGTTACTACAGTAGCAAAACATTCTAATATAGACATGGTCTGTAGCACCTTTGCTGATAATTTTCATATATATATATATATATGAAAATATACAGATATATTTACAAATATATAGATGTCTATATACATATAAATAGATAATTACTTCAGTTGATAATTATGCTAAGAGCTGAAGCTGCTAGCACAGGCCTGCCTTAAACTTTTGTACCAGGTAGAAATAAATTATTTTCCTTTCACTTTCTCTGTCTTCCCATGTTGTTATCACATTAAAATATTTAGCATAGCTGCATTCAGTGCAGCTTCTTTGCTCATCCTTCTACTTAATGTGGTCACAGGTAGATATTTTGTGCTCCCAGCTGTGTGGTAGGAGAGGTTTGTCAGCCCAGCACTCTTGCCACTGGTGCCATGAATTTGGTGGATCAGTCCATGTTCAATTTGCTGTATGTGAAAATCAATTGCACTTGAGATAACAAAAAAAGACAACAGGTACTCACAGCCTGTTCCCTCCTTATCCACAGCAGAACATCTGTGTGAGTAATTGCTTCAATAACAGCAACGCAAATTTCTGCAAAGTCCAACCCCCCCCACCCCCCCTAGTTTACGATGTTTATTAACCCTTACCATATATATTTACAGAACATGAATCACACCTGAACCCAGCTGCAACACGTAAAGTCCCGGTGGTTCCACTGAGCTGTGAGTTCAGAACCAGGGAATTGCTCTGCTCTGTGCCCGCTGTAAACCAGGGTGGAATCACCTGCTGCTGGTTTAATTCGCTCCCTGGCTTTGCCTCACTTTTTTTTTCCCAGGTAATTTATCTCACTGGGCATGTATTGCGCCCTGGTTTTACCTTTCCCCTCAGCTTGTAATCCTTTTGTCTTTTACGGAAGGAAAAAAAAAATCCGTTTTGATTGTCCTTCTCTAGTCTTCGAGATTCAATCCCATATTTAAACGTGCAGCACCACCACAGGTGCTTCCTAACTGGAAAGAGAGCAGGATTGGGATTGAGCAGGAAAACATATACCGACGTGAAAACTCTCTGAGTAATTAACTAGGGAGTGAGGAAGGGTCCTTTGCTCCTTTCCAGAGCAAAGCTTTGCCATATAACAAAATACAAACACCACGACACAGGGTCATTCATTTTTATACATTTATGTATACTTACATATATATATATATAGTATACTATATATGTTATTAATTTATACCTAGGGGAGAGGAGCCGCCCCCACACACACCTAAAAGGAGCGGGAGCCGCCCCGCCCGCCCACAAAATGGCGGCCGCCCCCGCCCCGCCTGAGGGAGATGCTCGCGCCGTGTCACGCCCACAAAATGGCGGCTGGCGGTGTTTCCTCGCAGCCCTGAAGCGGCCGGTTTGTCTCCATCCCGCGGGACACCCGGTCCCTGAGCTGTCCGTGATCAGCACTGCCCGGGGTTCCAGGGGAACGGGGAGGCCATCGAGGTGTCCCACAGGCGGGCCCGCGATGGAGCTGGGGCGGCTGGAGTACCTGCAGGCGCTCGTCACCGAATTCCAGGTGACGGACAGCCCAGGTAACAGACACCGCTGCTCGCTCACTCCCCTCATGTTGAGTGTTTCCTCACACACCTGACGCTTCTCCCTTGCAGAGGCCAAGGAGCAGGTGCTGGCGAACCTGGCCAACTTCGCCTACGATCCCAAAAACTACGAGTACCTGCGGCAGCTCCAGGTGCTGGATCTTTTCCTGGATATGCTCACCGAGGACAACGAGACCCTCGTGGAGTTTGCCATTGGTAAGGGCTGCCCCGAACACCCTCAGCTGGCACCTGCCTGGCAGGTCCGGGGACACCAGGTCCCACACCTGGTTTGGTGGTTAATCCCCACCCCCCCGCAAAATGGATCAGCAATCAGGCTCCAAAAATAGACCCACACTGTGCTGATAAAGCCTCATGTAGTGCAGAATGTGTGGCATAGGGAGAGAAGTCAGAGGCAGGCATGTCCCCCCTCTCCTGATAGAGCTTAATGAAGACACTTTCTGGAAAGGATTTTGTTTAGGGTTTTTTTCCCAGACCATAAGTAAACACTATCTGATTGACTTTTTTTCTAAAATCTCTCCTATAGAGAAGCAATAATTAATACATAAATTTAGCCAGGTATATTGTACAGGTCCATTGTTACCGTTCTGCTATTGACAGCTGGTCTTCTAGAATATTTACTTGACACTTTTAAATAAATTCTCTGAGAAACTGCCTTATCTTTTTATGGTCTTTTTATGATCTTTTTATGCTTTATTTTTTATGGTCTGAACATAAGATAAGGGGCCAGATCCTGTGAGGGATTCTATGAGATGATAATAAATATACTTGATTGTTAAGGTTTGTGGCTTCTCAAAGTTTCAAGTTCAGACATTCTGTGCCTCTTGCCCAACATTGTTATGTCCATTCTCTGGTTTTCTAAAACACGTGCAGTAAACTGCTGGCTAATATCTTCAGTTAAGGATAAGCGATCCTGGAATCATTCTGTGGAAGCAGTTATGTGCAGCAGTAACAGTGCCCTCTAATGACACACAGGAGGAGGAATGTGCTGGTGGAAAATCTCTGGAAAGCATCAACAAAACACGGCCTAGGGAAGCGTGAAGAATTTTCCATCCAAACCTCACAGAAAATCTCGATACTTATTTCTGTGTTAGAGACAGGACGAGCTTAAATTTGAATCTGATTGCGACAAAGACCAGGGTGTGGAGAGCTTGCCTAGTCAGACACTTTCTTTTGCCGTTTCAGGTGGTCTTTGTAACCTGTGCCTGGATAAAACTAACAAAGAGTACATCCTGGAGGCCAACGGGGTGGAGCCCATCATCAACTGCCTGTCCAGCCCCAACGAGGAGACTGTGGTGTCAGCTGTCACCACGCTGATGTTCCTCACGACGCCGCAGTCACGGCACCAGACCACGGCCTTGCCCGTGGTGGAGTGCATGCTCCGCTTCTCCCTCTCGGCCAACAAACGGCTCAGCAACCTGGCAACCCTCTTCCTGGAGGATTACTGCTCCCCTCCTCAGGTGGAGGAGGCCAGGAATCTCAGCAAACACACAGCAGTGGGGATCCCCCTCCCCAAGGACTGAAGCTGTTTGAGAGGGAGACTGCCCTCTGTTCTCACTTTCTGCTCAGCAGGTCAAGAGCGTGTCAAAAAATGTGAAAGAGGGAAGCTGATCCTACCAGCACTGGGGTTTAGTTAACAAAGATGATGGTGCAGCAGTACCATGGCAGCTGGACTGAGCATGCAGCTAAAACTGCCAGCAAATATTTAAAATAAAGCAGGTTATGGCTGTTGGACAGCAGTTTGCCAAGTGCAACCCAGCACCCGGCTTGCACAAATAACCCTTCCCAGCAGTTAGGGGTTTTCTGCTTGGGTTATTGAGCAGCTTATATCCCCTCCAGTTCCTGGCTGATTTTGCTGCAGTTTTCCCCTTCAGTGTCAATGACAACTGACACAGAGCGTCAACTCAAATGACTTCAAAACGTCACAGAAATTTATTCCTCCTGCAGAGAAAGAAGGAGGTTCCCTGCCCTGGCAGTTCACAATCTTTCTACATCCCTGTGGAACTAGTTATGCCACCCTCTCATCGTGGCATAGGCACCCGGCTCCTGAGTCACTGCACAGGGCAGGCTGTAACTATCCTTTAAATCAAGAAGTAGAAAGTTGTTTTTCTTTCATTACCACTGGTGAGGAAGGTGAAGATTTAAAAAAAAAAAAAAAAAAAAGGGCTCACAGCAGTCTGGCTCATGAGAGCTACTGTCTTGTAAAACCTTCTCTTAATAAAACATTAACTTGAATGCTGTGTAATCAGTTCTGTATGAGCTCATAAATATTTCTCTGCAGCACTTGCAGCCTTTGCCCACTCTTACTCAAGCACATGGGCCAGAAATCGAGGCCAGCTTGGTCTCCTTTCATGATCAGCCAATGAGGCAAGAGAAAACCCAAAAGCCAGGGTGGCTAAATACATAAAATTTAGAAGGTTTGGCTGTTGAGCCCAGTGCCCCCTGACAGACACCCATGCTGTGTCTGCTCAAGTTTCAAGAGCTTTCCTTCTTCCTCTTTTTTCCTTCTCTCCACCCCCGGACAGCACAAACCAAACAGGAGCGAGGTTAAACACACACACACACAAAAATCCAACCAACCCACAGCTGCTTGTGTTTTACAGTTTCTCTTCTCCAAACAGCAAACATCCAAAATGCTACAGAGGTTAACTGAGTGCAGAGGAATCTTCCAGAAACGTGGAGAGAGTCAGCTCTGTACCAAGTCTGACAGTGGCAGCTCATTTGTTATTATAACTGACCCCGAGGTGACAGTGCTCACTGGCTCCTGGGAACGGGTTTCCCTGGCACAGGGAAGGGCACAGCATCCCCTTCCTGCACTACTGCCTGCGCTTGCTTTCCAGGATGGCCTTCCAGTTGTCTGCCCAGGAGAGCAGGCGCCGGCGCGGGGCCGGCAGCTGGACGTGCCTGTTGTGGCAGCAGGTGAACAGGATGTGCTCCCAGCTCGGGTTCGGTTCTGCGCCTGGGGAGGGAAAAGGGGGAAAACTGGAGTCAGCTGGGGGTGACTCCCCGGCCAGCAGCCAGCGATGGAAGCGCTGTTCAAACCTTGGATGGTGTCCTTGTCGTCAAACAGCAGGTCAGCAGCTACGACGGTCTTATCTCGGGTCAGAATAATCCTCTCCACAAACTCAGGCCCCAGATGTTTCTCTACCCACTTATACTGCAGAGACAAGAAGTAAGAGAAAATCCAGCTGCAGTCTCAGTTTGCACATTGCTCGTGCCAGGTCAGCCCTAGTGCAGTAATTTTTTCCCCTGTAAGCCCACATCTCTGTCTAGGAATCCCCATGTGGAGACTGGCGACAGTCCAGGACGGATTTAACCTGTGACAGCCTTCTCTCAACACTGCCCTGGTCGTGCTGAACTGTTGAGTTTGTGAGCAGCGCTGGCTGCTTGCCCAGAGCACGTGGATTGTGCCCATCCAAGTCACTCCTGTGACCAAAGTCTCCCCTCCATTCTCGTGCCAGTGGCAAACAGGACTAATTCCAACACCACGGCCTCCTCAACTCAGCATTGGCCTCTTTTGGGGCAACTGGATATCTCAGTCTCCAGATTTAGACAGAAGGTTTTGTTGGTTGAGGATTCTCCAGCGTGGAATCCCCTGGGAATACCCCTTCCTTGTAGGGAACTACAACAGTTCCTTTGCTATCGCCTCCTGATAAGCTGGTCCCAGCCCAGCTCCAAGAGCTCAGGGCTCACATGCTCCATAGTAACTCTGGCAGCAAGTGGCACTGCAAGATTCCCCATCCTGAGATACTGCTCCGTGTCTGGGCAGCTGTTCCTCGGACAGGGATTGAGGGAAGGCTGGCAGCCGGAGCAGCCACTGCCTTAATAAAGGAATAGCTTTGTCTTGGTGGTATGAACCAGCAAGGCCTTGCAAAAGCAGCATTAAACCCAGCAAAATAAATTCTCTCCCACCTTTTCCACGATGCAGTGCTCGTATTTCCGGAGAGGACTCGTGCAAATGAACACCTGGGTGCTGAAAACAAAACAGCTTTCATTAGCAGTCAGGGGAGAAAGTGTGTATGGTCATGGAAAAGGGCTGCAGAGTGTCCTTACTCCTGCATGTGGATCATCTCCTTCATAGCTTCAAGGGCTCCTGGAATTGGATCCAACCTCAGGAAGAAGCCAGGCGACTCATAGACACTGGCTACCTTGGCCTGCAAGAGACAGAGGACAGTCAGCAGTGCCTGTGCTTTGATCCAAGATGTCCCAGCAGTTCTCCAGTTGTCCCATGTGTAACAGCCAGCAAAGGGCCAGCACTTTGCCGAGGGAGGTGATGCTTCCCCCCAAGAGTGGATTAAAAAATTTCTCACCTTTTGGGTTCCAGGAAAAGTCCAACCCAGGCACACAAGAAGTCATTCCCTGGTGGCTCGTTTGGAGTGAGGAGGCAGAGCTGACCCTGACCTGGATTTGTTCCCACCACAAACAGCCCTGACCCACAGCTGGAATCGCTGAGCTCTGGCAGAGGGAGAGCTCCCTCCTCAACCCCTCCCAGCAGGTCTCTCTGGACTAACTCTTGTGAAAAGCAAAGGAACAAGTTTGAGGCTTCTGCTCCTCTGTCATGCTTGGCTGAGATTTGCTGATGACTCAGGAGTTTACCAGGGACAACTGGGCAGACACAGGCACTGCCCAATATCCCTCTTTTCCTTTGGAGCAAACAGGGCAAAGTGGTGACCATGCCAATGGCCAAGTCAGCACACCCACATATTTGGGGTGAATCCCTTCAGCAAGAGGGAAGAGTGAGGATGGGAGCACTGGGAAAGCTCCGTGTCTTTGCTGCTTTCTGTGATTTTCAATCACCCACTAAAACACCCATTGCTGAAGGAGCAGACCTTGACTCCAGCATGGTTGGAGCTGCTCCTCTGTGGTAAAGTCTGCTCCAAAGAGTGTCAGATTGCAGCAGGAAGTTCAGAGGTGGATCCCTGTGCTTCCCCAGGAACCTTTGGCTCCCTGGGGTGACCTGTGCACCCTGTGACTCCCCAGCTGGGCTGGGTTTGGGGGTGCTGTGGGACAGCACTCCCTTCGCCTGGCTTAGGGCACAGGGCCCCATGATGGGCTGAGTAGGGGGATTAAGGGCTTTATCCCTGTTGTGTCTGCACCTGCTCTCGGTGTAAACCCACCTTCCATACAGGCATGTGGGATGCCACATGAATCAGAGAAGTCATTAATAGTGAAAAAGTAGGAAAGGAGGTTTGTGCTAAAGGTAGAATAATTTTGAAGTGAGTGTAAACAGGAAAGAAACAAGATTACTGGAGGAGCAATGTTATCCCATTTTGGCTAAAGTACCCAAAAATGGTACAGAAAGGTATTTAATATGATACAGTACAGTGGTATTTATAACCTCTAAAAGGAAATGCAGTATTTCCAGGGCAATTCCTGTGCCTTTAGCTAGGACTGTCCTTCTAGTCCTTTTTTTTTTTTTTAAATTTACTGATAAGACATTTTCATATGTTTTATTATTAGGAAATTCATTGGTTTGAATGCAGTTCTGGTTAGTTAATTTTAAAGATTGCTCTCTGTTGACTGTTCAGTGGCCTGTGTTAAATCACAGTGTTTCAGAGTGGGTCACAGCCCATGGATTTTCTCACCCCTTATCAGACATCCCATCATGGCAAAGGACCCACAGCAGTGCTGAGGCCACTTCCAGGCTTAAATTTGACTCTCAAGACAGAGAAGTTAAGCTTCCAGTATCTCTTCTACCCTGAGACACATGAATCTTACCTTCCCTGGGGTCACACTGTGAACTTCTGAGGTGTCAAAACAGCATTTTTCCACCAGCATTAAAGTCATACGTTCCCATGCCACTGAACAGTTTTGAAAACTTAATTCTTGTTAAGTATTCTTCAAAAGCAGGCTCCAGCCTTTGCTCAGAAATTGTACAAGGCAGCTTTATAGTCCAGCTGATGGTCTCTTTGCTCTATATCACCAGTGGAACATCAACATAAAGACCATTTCAATTAAGAAGCAATGAGAAGGAGCTGGCATTAAACCAGTCTCCCAGATCCCAGAGCTCACTCAGTTATCATCATCTGCAAATACTCATAAATCAACAGCCAGAAATTTGGAAGCACTGCCTGATTTCACACGCAAATCAGAAGAGGTTGAGGAGTCTCTGGGTGCAGACGTGGCAATCAGATCTGCCCAGATCTCTGTTTCCATGCAAAGCCTCCCTGATCCCAGCAACAATTCCCTGGAGCTCTTCCCAAGGAGATTGAATTACAGACTCAGGGCTTGTGTCTGAAAGCTCTTTTATCCTACAGCAAGTCACCAGAAACTGGCAAGTTTCCACTACGTCACAAAAAAGTCTGGCTTTGCTGGCAAAAGAAAATCGATTTGATGACTCTTAGAATCAAAAGTCATTTCCCTCCCCCACAAGAAACAAAAAGTGACTAGAAACTGAAAGTAAAACCATTTTCTTTCCTCATTTTCATGCCATCAGTGCTTTTAACTTCCATTAGCAAGATAACAACTTGGATGCAAAACTGGAGTGACTACCTCTATCCCTAAGCTTTCCCGTTGGCATTTAAAGAAAACAATTCTAGACACCTAAAAATAATTCTAGAAAATTTTGCCCCCGCTGGAGGTGTTGAATCCTTTTTTGAAACTGTCTGGGGCCAGGAAACACATCCTAAACTCTTGGGAGATAAATCCCCATCAAAATGGCTACACACGCAGGGGGGCAGATAGGCAAGAGCAGTAAAGAAAGTTTTGAACAAAATAAAATGGATTAAAAGTCTTTCTAAATAAAATGGATTTACAATGTGAAATCAATGATCAAAACAGAAATAAAACCCCAAGTAATGGCTCCAGTTTCAAGGGGCAGCTGCTCAGCACTAACAAAGCATAAACACCCGTCAGTAAGAGGCAATCCATAAATCATTAGCACAGCACTTCCCACCCCCTGGCATGAGAGTGTCCCACACCCTGGCAGTTCATGGACAGGCACAGCCGACACCTGCCACAAAGAGCCTGGTGTCCAGCTGATCCCTGGTGTCCTGCTGATCCCCTCCTTTCAGCACTGACAAACTGCAGACTCAGTTTCCCTGCACGGACCATGAGGCCCCATAGACCCCCCGGCACAGGATGGAAAAACTGTCCTCAGTGTCTGGGCTGCTGGTTCCTGCTGAAGCTTTTCCTGCAGCTGTGGGCAAGGAGAGACCTTCCACAGGAATTCTCCTGCCTCACAGACACCCTGTACAGCCACGGCAGAACTAACAAGGGCTCTATTTTTAAACTGGTTTATGATTTTTTACATAAAACCCAAAGGAGCTTCAAATCTTAAAAACTTCATTGTTGTGGCTAAAGCAGCCCAGAACTCCAGAGGTTACTGAAGGAGACACACAGCACAGCTCCACAAAGCTAATTTCCTTAGGAAGCCAGGCTAGTAATGAACAGCAAGATAAGAGCTTTCTGCCACTGCTGATCAGCGTGGGACTCAAACCAGTTATCTGGTTATTCCATTGCCACACCTAAGGTCTGGGGAGAAACAGGATGAGCACGAACCAAATTAGGGAATGGGAATGCCAGAAATAGAACAAAACACAATTTTTTTGATAGATCAGATTGTAGACCTTCAAAATAAGAACAAATAAAAATTCAAGACCCCTTTAATTACCTGCATATTTTTTTTGTCCATATATACCTAAATGGGATTCATTTAAGGAATACTAATTTAAACAATAAATCATGTCTGTTTATGTATAATAATAACCAAATTCATGCCTACTGCCTATATTTACAGGTTCCTAGGTCCAGGAACTTCTGAACATCAATAGTCATTGATTAGAGCTCAGGCAGTTTGGAGCCTGTGGAAATGCTGACTGGACCCAGCATTCCCATCCATCACCCTGGTGCAGGAGCCTGGAACAGGAAGGAAATCAATGTGAATTGTCATTTCTTAGCAGTAAAAAAACCTACAGACTCAGTACAGGACCTTAAAATTAGCAATGAACTTCTCAGGGAAAGTGTATGGCACAGCCTGGATCAGCATCCAGGCTCTGTAAAGAGTCCTCGACTGTCCTGCAGTTACCAGAGGGAAGGGTGAAGTCTGGATTCACAGTATTTTTGATTTTGCCTTGCAAACCTCTCTGATATTCATTCAGTCATTAGCAGACATTAAAAATGGCAACAGTTTGCATGGATGTAGGGTGTTCCAGAGCTTTCTGCATGCTGCTCCTGATCATTACCTGCCATGCACTCTGCTTGTCAGGGCATGCAGAGGGAATATGGACACAGGATTTCATTAGCTGTACAAACCCATATATAACATTTATATTTCTTGTCCTGCTGTGGAGCCACATTAACACTCACAGAGCACTCAGGGAGCTTTGGGTAAGTTATTAGTCCTGCTGCACAGCAAGAGCAGGAACATGAGTAGGGTAAAGAACAAGCTGAACATGGTTCAGTGAAGAGTTTGATGACAGAATTGCTCTTTGCCAGTTCCTGCACGCACTTCCCTGTAAAGGGCTGGTGATCCTCCTGGAAGAAATCACTAATTATCATTATACAAAATAAGGCTGCACAAAATGCAAAATTAAAAATACTGTGAACCCAGATTTCACCCTTCTTGCTGGTCACCAAGGGACAGTCTAATCAATGACTATTGAGGCTCAAAAGTTCCTGGAATTAGGAAAATTATAAATATAGGGAGTAGGCATGAATTTGGATACTATTTTACATAAACAAGCATTATTTATTATTTAAATTAGTATTCTTTAAACGAATTCCGTGTAGCCATACATGGACAAAGGAAGTTGTAGGTAATTTAAGGGGTGGTGGCTGTTTAAAAAATACTGACCCGACCCTGAGCTCTGCACACCCAGGGTGGGCAGGGAGAGGTTTCCGGGCCGGGTGAGGAGGGTGAGGCTCGCACTCACCTCCAGGTCCTCCCGCAGGTTGCGGTATTGCTCCCGCACCGAGAAGCCCCTGCGCTCCGCCAGCTCCACGCGCGGCTCCGCCGGGAAGCGGGCGCGGAATTCCCGCAGCACCGCGCCCTCGAAGTCGGCCAGGACTCCGTCCATGTCCACCAGCACCCGCAGCGGCCCGGCCGCGCTGCCCATCCCGATCCCAGAGCCCGGTTCCCGGCACACGCGGGCGAGGCGGGCGGCAGCGCCCCCGGCTCCGGCACACGTGGGAGGAATTCATGAATATGCATGAGCAGTATGAATATGCATGAGGTGGGCGGGGCTCCTCGGGGCAGCCCCGCGTGGGAACAGCGGTGGGATCCGCCAGGAACCGAGGAAAAGCGAATAGCACCCCCCAAAAGCCTTCGGGATCCCGCAGCGGGCACATTCGCAGCACGAGGGGCAGAAGGGCGGTGGAACAGCAGCAGCATGGCTTGGCCAAAGCCTCAGCAACCATAAAAGAGCATTAATAAAGTTCCACTGGGTTTGGGGATTGCCAAGGAAATATAATTTGATTACTTCCCATGCTCTACCTGCAGCCGGTCCTGCGGCCCAGGGGACAGGAGGGATAAGAATCCTCTCCCCCCCGTGCAGGAGAGGAGGAGCACGTCAGAGCAAATCCAGTTTTGTAGGTTAAGCACCTCAGGCTAGGGCTTCTCCAGCACTGATCTGGGAAGCCTGGGTGCTTTCAGGCACCGGTTCTTCCAGGCGGAGGGTGGAAAAGGTGCCAGCAGACACACCAGCTCCATACAAATCCTCTGCTGTGGCTTATCCTGCAGCAGGTCCCTCCAGGACAGCAGAGAACTCCACAGTTTGGACTCACAGCCACCTCCCTTTTTAGGATCCTGTTTTGGTTTGGGTTTTTTTTGTTGTGAGGAAAATAAACTTTCCTCTATTTTCTTGAGATGAAAAAGTATCTTGGATAAACCAGATTACAGATACCAAGCCATATTCCACATTTCTCTGCTCTAGAAGACAAAAATTAAGCGATAAGTCAGACAATCTCTTCAGGGGAAGATGGCATATGATGGTGATGTTAACCAAGTGCAATAACTCTCCTCCTCTGCTGCATCCCACCTGTGCTGGCATAGGGCATGTTGGCTGAGACAAGGACAACTGAGAATAAAGGCAAAACCAAAACCACGAAATAAAACCCACACAGGAAACACGGCTTCAAAATTTCTATATTATTTACTTTTAAGCAACAATCCAGCTCCGTGAAATTACAACACACACTTTTAAAGGATGAGATTTTCACCTCATGGTCAAGCACCAGCATGATCATGCACAGCATTGAGTCAGTTGTAAAAAAAAAAATGCCCTGTAATTCTTATTTATATGATCCACTCCACCTTTACTGAATAAAGTCTGAATCAGCCCCTTCCCAGCACTAGGCCAGGTGGCTCTGGTCATCAGCCCTCTATTTGGCACAGACCCTGCATCGTAGTAGTCCAGTATCAAGATTTATTTTGTTTTTAAAGGCAGCATGGTGTACATTAACCACTCAATGATTTATATGGCACAGCAGGGCTCAAGGCATTTACCACATGCAGTCAATGAAGCCTTTTAGATCCCTAAATCCCACATGTGGAGGGAAGGGACCGCTCTTGCTGATTGTTTGCTGGCCTGGGTAACCAGGATTCTAGACCCTTGTAAAGCTAAGGGGTTCTAAAAAGAAAAACCTCAGTACAAAAACCCTCTAAGCACACTTAGAACCAAGCTACTCTCCTTTGAATTACATTACAATACTTCATAAAGCTTTCCCTCAAGTCTATCACTAGAAAACACTCATGTCACTTCCAGTAGATCTGGGGGAAACACAGGACAGAAGTGGAAAAAACCCTTGACTTCAAAAAAAGATGGAGTACATAAAGTGCTTCTTTTTAATGAAAGAAATTTGAGATGTACAGTCAGGCTCAAGTTGTGCAGTTCACAAGCATGGGGGAAAGAAAACAGACACGAGTTCAAAACAGTCAGGAAGGGAAAGGTTTAACCGAGGACTAGGCTGGACTTGCCACCGGGTGGATTTCTCCTGGATGGTGCAGGTGCTGGTGCTACTGGGCTAGGAACAGGTGCAGCAGGCAGGGATTTTTCTTCACTCTGACCTGGGGCAGCTTCTACATCAGCCTCAATGTTTTCTAGAAGAAAAGAAGCTTTTAAGGTGTTTGATGTGGATGAGGAGAGCCAGATGTTTCGCTGGCTCCTGTCAGTTCTCTCCCGGTGCACAGACACACTTGGGTGCTGCTGCAACCCGAGGGCAGGGCAGACTCAGCCCTCAGAAGTGTTTCTCAGATGGACTCTGCCTTCCAGCTCGGTTTCAGGTGTTCATCAAGAGCCACATTCATTCAGCTGCTATTAGGGGACACCAGCAATTCATTTTTCTTAATGACAAGCAGCTCAAGGCTTAAGACTTGTACATATAATTAGTCAGCGTGTGACTCTGGCAATAGTAACTCAAGTCTGAGCAGGTGCTGGAAGCCGAGTCACAGAAGCACCAGCAAGAGCTCAAACTACATTCCCAATTTCGTAACTGGAGGGAAGAGGATCTGACACACTTCTGAGGCTTCACACAGAACAGAGCAGGGAACAGCCATGCATGGGGAGGCTCTGATTGTACACTCCCTGGGAAGCACATGATAGTTTATTTTAAGTCCTTCTGAACAGCCACAGGTGAAGACAGGACACAGAAGGAATTCTTCACAGGAAGCACTTTAGATACTGTAGCAAATAACTAATGTATCTGCTTCGCTGACACTGAGTACAGCAAGTGCATTAGCATCTCACATTTTTATGGACTAACACAATCACTTCTGAGCCAAAGGCCCAAATCAGCACCAAGCAGCCCCCTGGGTACAGGGGGAGTGAGGGGAGAAAAGCTTCACCATCAGTTCTGTCAAGATACACCTCATCTGTTTTCAACAGACCCCTTAGTTCAATCTAATGAACACTAGTTCTGGGTTTGGAGGATTCAGACAACAGCTGCACATTCACCCTAAGCTTCACGTTTGGTAAATCTTGATTAAATTCCCTCCCCCAGCCTCCTCCTCAAACTGCAGAGACACAACTATTTCAGTTTCACCTCCCAGGGCAGCCACTGCACCCCTTTACCTTCCTTGTTCACCCCCACAACCTTCTGCTCTTTATGTGTCAAGGACTGCACACTCGATTCAAGATGTGGGTGTACCATTGTTTACAGACAAAATGATGTCATTTTCCATTTTCTCCCTGATGACATCCAGCATTTTGCTAGCACTGCCACACATCTCAGAGAACACTCCAGGCAGATCCTGGGAGCATCACAGCACAGAGCTGAACACAAGGCTGCCATGGTTTAGGTGTTGGGTTTTTTCACCCCCTGGATTCATTACTTTACACTTACTTACATAAGGATTATCCTGCCACCTTTTTACCTGCCTACCTCATTCAGCTGAGTCCTTCTGACAGTGAGATTTTCTCACCATCAGCACAATTTGACTACTTGAAAGAGCTCATATCACCAACAAAATTGGAGACTTCACTGTTCATTACCTTTTCCAGGTCATGGATGAAGGGACTGAATAAAACTACCTCCATATCACTTCCCATGGCTCGTTTTTCCAATTTGAAAGGCAATTACTAAGCCCTACCCTTTGCCTCCTATCTTTTAGCTACTTTCCTACTCCCAGGAGCAGCTTTCCTCCAATTCTGTGGCAACTCAGCTTATCTCTTTTAAATAATATTTGATGCAGGATTTATCAGAAACACCAAAATCCCACTCCTGTCCACTGAACCCCCTGTATCCACGCTTATAATAATCTCAAAGAACTCCAGCAGCTTAGCATAGTCCCCATGCAATCAGGAATAATCTACACTACAGACTCTCTGCTGTGCTCATTAACACACCAGCACAGCTGAACTAAACAGTTAATACCACATTTTAAGCTTGAAGCTCCTGTAGCTGCCGTGTCCCAGTGCCTGCTGACTCAGCACAAGCATCCATGGAGATCATTTGTCCCTAATGCCAGACTCCACCTTCCCCTGTGTGTGTCATGCACTGTCTACTTCTCCTTAGCTGCTCACATTCATTCAGCTCACAGTGCCACTGAATCACAAAAGAAACATGAATTAAGACCACAGCAGACTTTTGGGGAAGTTTGTGTAGCTCATTCAGCCAGCTGATCACACATGAGCACTTCTCACACAATCAAGGTATAGATATATCTGCCAACCTAATGACTAAAGTAAATGCAATAGGATCAGCTCAAATGTTGAAGATCTTCCCATCCCAAAAAGGGTCTAATCCCTGGAACAGCTCCCTGCTGAGTGCACTGCAAACCCCTGAAACTCTGCACAGAAAGGAACTACAGCTCCCAAACAGGAAGCAAGAAAACTGCTGCAAAAGGAACATTTTCTTCCCCTAGACAGGTGTGATTAATAAATATGCACACCCCACCTGACACCTACTTGGGGTTTTATAATGAGTTACATACAGAAAATGATTTCCACATTCAAAAGAATAAACATTTTTACATGATGGGAAGCTATTAAGATTCTGGTTGTGCTGTGAACTTGTAAGCAGACAGCTTTTGCTTGAAGGTGGATTCATTCAACTCTTTTCAAACCCTGCAGACAGCTCTGCAAATCCAGTACAAAGTCACAGGTGTGCCAGGTGGGATGTTCACCAGCCCAGCAGGAATATCAAGGGAAGGAGTGGCACACCTCAACGAGACTGGGCTCCATTAAGCTACAATACCCAAAGCTATCAGTGGTAGAAATTCATTTAACAATCCATCAGGATGCTCAGGGATCTGCCACAGACACCATTTCCAGGAAGCATTACATTCCTACTCCTTCCTAAATACCATCAGTGAAAGTTTAACATTCAAACCTTTGCCTGTCATTTTAATTTCATCTTGGTCATCTCCAAAATTTTTACTCATGGCCACAACAGGAAACAACCCCAATTACTTTCCAGTAACACTTCTTTTTTAACCACCTCCCAGCATACATTTATTTGGTCCTTGATAAGAACTTCCCTTGCTGTCACTCACCAGAAACAAACCTAAATACAAATACAACACCTGTGAAAAATGTGAACTTTTAAATTTAAGAGTCAGGAATATCACTTTGCACTCCAAGTTTCAGCTGTCCTGATCCCAGCCAGCTCTGTTTCTGTTTCCTCGCATCCCAACCCTTCTCACCTCACTGCTGTTTGTGGGATCTCCTCTGCCCCGTGGGGAGCTGGTTTAAACAAGCAGCAGAGCCCTTAGAGCAGTTTACTTCTATTAGCAAACCACATCCTCCTACTCGAGGCATAAACTCCAGATGCCTGCAGTGCTAATTAAGATCAGCCAGACATGGGAAAGAAATCCTAAATCCTGTACACAGTTTGATTAGAAGCTGCCTGCTAAAGAGGCAACACTTATTTTGGGCACAGATACCACTTAAGAGGTAGTTGAAACGTTCTGGAAAAGCTCTCCCCATCCCAGCAGGTCTTTTCAGGACAGGGAGCTGTTAATGGCCTCATTGATCTCCCACCACTCTTAGGTGTTGAAAGTAGCACTTGGAAAGCCACGGGTCAACACACACAATCCTGGCATCAGGAAGTAAGCTATTCCTAAGGTGAATCTTACAAAGGAGAGATTTCCAGCCTCAGAGCTAGAAAAAAAAAACACTTGAAGGCTGGCAACAGGTGCTGCTAGGGGAAATGTCTCTGTTTACAGGATATTTGCAGTATGCAGATCAACTTCCTTGGCAAAAATCAGCATTTAAAAGGCAACAGGAAGTTAAAAGCTGGTTAATGCAGACACTTCCAGATGCAGTAGCTGGGTTTGATTATTTCTGTGAGTGTAGAGTTTGCTGTATGAGAAGACAATAGGAAAGAAGGACATTTTAAACTAAAATCAATTAAGTTGACTGTCTTATTTAATTACAAGCTACTCTAACAGCAGTGTAGTCTTTCAATCACTTGAAATCTTTGCAAGTTGGTCTCCACCTTGCCTTCTAGTACTCAGACAAATCTTTACACCAACAGCTGGTGGCAAAATAAATGAGCAGGACTGTTCTCCTTTTTAACCTGATGACTCACAGGCACTCCACCATTTCACTCCATACCCACAACTCCACTGAAGCAGTTGAGTCACTTTATTGATCTGATGGATTCCAGAATAACCCCAATCTGCCTCTATCCTAATACATGACCATTTATACATCCTATATCCTCCTTTGTTGCAAAAGGCTTTCACCAGGAGTCCGAAGGAGTTACTTACCAGAAATTTCACCACCGACATCTCCTCCCTGGAAAAGAGAGAGAAACATGTTATATCTCACATCTCACAAAGGACACGGGTGGGCACAAACACTTTATTGTGCACAGCATCCTAAATCCAGCAGCACTGAGAGGAACCAGAACATCCTCACTGCAGAGCAGGAGGGACAAACGAATGACACTGAGAACCACGAGCTGCAGTTCAGTGTCCTCTCCTTTCTACTAAGCAACTCTGACACTTATCTGTTAATATGGCCAAGAGCATTTGTTCTACCCAGGATATTTAATTTCATTTGTGAAATGCTGATCAGCTTCTTTGCAACGACGCTGATAAAGTTTCCTTCACTACATAAACAGTTAAACATTATTTACATACCGAGTCTGTTCACAGGCTGCAACTTGACACAAAGATACAGAGTCTCCCAGCAGCAGCCGAGGCTCCTCAATGGTATGAGGTTTTATCAGCTTTCATAGATTTAACATTGCTAATTACACAGTGAAACTGCAGAAACTGGGATAAAAAAGCACAGCAACTGACACAAATTTACCACCTTAAATCTCAGGCTGGGCTACAGTTCACCAGCTCCAGCTTCTGCTGTTTGCAGCTGAACTACTGCATAAAAGTAAACTATTCCACATGGGAAGAATCTGTTTGCAAAGCTGAGAACCACAGTGTTTAACACAATTTAGCAGAAAATACAATTAAACTAAACAGTTTGTTTTCTGTGGTAGCAGCTATAAATTTAATTCACTTATATTTGCTAAATTGAAACAAGACATTTTCTGTAACAAAGAACAGTTTTGTGACTTAAAGCTCCTATTCATAACAAAAATGGGTTGTGATGCTTGATGTGAATTACCAAAATAAAACATTAGACAAAAGGTGTCTGCTACAACATTTGAGATCAACTATTTACTTACCCAGCTCTTTTCAGACAACTTAAAGCTCAAGTTTTAAACAACAAGATTTCTTTTTTCCACTAAAATTTGTTCATGCAAGTGCAGGCTACCCTGCATTCCTGTGTTTCTAAGGTCAGAGGAATTACTGGCTTTTTACTGAACCACTGTTCAGAGGAATCCTGTTTTTCCCATTAAATGTAATCACACATCTATCAAATGTCATCATACATCTAGCAAATGTTACCTAATTATCTCTATTAACACTACAAATCGTGCTCCATATTGCTACCAAGTGAACAGTTTATACAGAAAATAACACACCTGATGGTATTATTAACACCAGTAACAAATAAAACAAGCATTGATGCTACCGAGGCAAGAACTTGTTGAGATGTGAAACCAAGTTTTGTCAGACCCACGCAGCGTTTGCTGTAGGTAACTATTGTTTATAAAATGTCTAAACCCACAATCACACACAGAGCTGAAATTAGATTTTGCAGCACTTCATTACTGTCTGAGCGATAAAACAAGTTAAGAGCTCTGGAAAGTGGTCCCTGTGAAAAATCCAGCCCTCCATCAACATTTAAGAGTATCAGGTGGAACCTTCAGAAAAAAAAAAGATTGGGAACAAGGCTTTGAATCCTACAGTGCTCCCAACTGTGTGAACATCACTTGTAAGGCAACACCACCCAGGGCGTGAATTGCCCCTTATCGGGCTCTTTGTAATCAAGTACTGACCTTGGGATCTACAAAGTCTCCACAGTTTGCCTCAGTTGAGTTTGTTCTTTGTGGTCCAGATGATTCACAGTTGTCTCTGATTTCACCCGGCTTAGCCCCTACAAGCAGAGATTGATTCCAATCAGGTTGCAAGATAAACTTACCAGGAAAGCAGATCATAAATAGTTACAGGTTTGGGTACTCTGAGGGAGGTGCTTTTTTTTTTTTTTTTAATTAAAGTTTGACCATTCTAAAAAATCCTGGTCCTTCAGATAATAACTCACAAATTACTGTCTTACAGCATCACCTCATGCAGTGAGGGTGTCATTTAAATAGATGGGATTTAGGGTCCCTACTCTGCAGAAATGGAAGCTTAACCCCAGCTGTGAGAAAAACACAAGGCTAAACTTCCTCTAAGTTCACTGTACTGTGACTTGATTAACTTGGAGAAATTGCATCCAAAATACAATTTTCAGCTTGCAACATGCCCAAGACTTGCATAAAAAACCCCTTCTGGTATAAATTCATGAGAAATAAACAATCTCCTGCAAGCAGGTGTCATTTAGAGCCCAAAAGTACCAAGTAGGAAGCAAACTCTGCTTTCCACACAGCCACCACCAGCTTCAGGCTGAGGCACAAAACGAATCCATGCAGCTCAGCAGATGTGGAAACAAAGCAGGATGGTCTTACCAGATGCTTTAGCCCAGGAAGGTGGGTTCTCTTCAGGAGTCCCAAAGATGCTGGATGCCATTTTGTTCCTTCGCACGGGTTGTTCTTTGGGCTCATCAAACCCCAAGGAGAAGTTGGACCCTCCTCCAGGAGGACGCAGGACTCTGCAGAGAGAGGGGGGGCAGCTTTACAACCTGTACCCCTGCTGAAAGCTGCACTCCAGCCCATAAATCAGAGGCTGCCATGGCTCCAGTGCATCATTTGAACTATCCAGGTAAGCCCCTGCCAGAATTCCATCCTGGCACTGCATCTCCACTACTCTTCACTTTAGCAACACTTACAGAAATAAGATGCTCCCAACACTCTACTCGTGCCCTTGGCTTCATTCAGTGTCACCAAGGGCTGCTGCCACCAGCCTTCAGTCTGAGCCAAACAGAAAATAAGTACGTGGGCTTGTCAAATTCCAGCTTTTTAAAGAGAACTCTGTGAAGGTTAACATCAATCCTCAAACTGGCAGCACGGTAAAGGCTGAAGTTTGGAGTATGAGCCAAAGGACTGGTTGCACCACTGGTGGCTGCAGCCTTTTTTTAGATTTGTTTCCTCAGAAAACCCCCCAAGTCTGCAGCATGATTCTGGTCTAGAGGCAAAAGGTGCAATCAAACAGCTTTAAGTTGACTATTATTAGGAGAGACACGTGTACAAAGCTCCAGATATGTAACCTAAATCTAACAATCTGCTGTTAGACAGACAAAAAAGGAGCCTGCTCAGTACTTCATGAGCTTTATTGTTGGTCTGCTTTCCAACCTGCAGAAATCAACCAATATTAACAGCAGCAGCAAAGTAAATCTTTAAATGTAAACTCCTCCTGATCTTATTTTCTTAAGCATGAGATCTTGTATTTGCTGGAGAAGCCAGGAAAATAAAACTGACAGTGTGAGAACTGTCACAACCCCCAGAGAGATGTGAGTACACCAACAGAATTTGGGGTTTCTTGGGCTTTCAAGGCATCCAGTGCTCTGAAATGAACACCAGGACAAAATAGGGATGGTGCACCCTTCCTGTTCTTTACAAATAATTTAATAAATCAAAGTTAGAACCTCACAAAAGGGAGCAGCACACAGCTTGCTGATGCTCCAAGCCTGGGAATTCAACACGAAGAGTGTGTCTGATTGTACAGTGTCATCACCACGGCTGAAGCGTTCAGATATTTGGAGATTTTGCACTTGTTAAAAACTCCAGATGCAACACAAAAACGCTTCTCCAAGCTCAAACACAACAATGGCAATGGAAATTCCCAAAGGTGTGCAGCATGGATATTTAATGTTACTTAACCAGCAAACCACTTTTCCTTAAAAAATTCTTCTCCAAAGTTCTAATTACTAATGCTCAGCTGCTAATGGGAGGATCCCAGGAGACTGGACAGTATGTTTGATTATGATTTGTTTTGTCTCCTCCCTGAATTAACAGATATGGTGTAATGGTTTTGAATCACTCCTTTATCTTTTTTATCCCGAGAAAATGTCTCCATTCAGACGGCTTATTTTCTTAGTTACATCTGTTGCAGTTAATCTGAAGAACAGTCTGTTCAAAGCAGGGCTTGTTCCCACACCACAGATCACCTCTATTCCACCAGAGCAGTGAAACTAGTACTCTCTTAAGGACACGACAGTTTCCACTGACAGTCTTTAATGACATTAACAGAAGAGGCAACTGAAGGGAAAAAAAAAGCCATCACTCAAACTGTTAAAAAGGAATAATGCCTTTTTACCAGCCTCAGCTAAAGGCTGGCAGGTTTCATTAGAAGCCTCTCACAGCCTGGAGATGCTGTAACGTGCCTTATGAAAGCCACGTTTAACACTTCAAGCAATGAGCTGCTCTTAAAAATTCCACCTGATACCCAGCGATGTCCACTGAAAATCCACCCACAGCGCCAGCCGGGAAGCGCTCTGGAAACACGCTTTGCAAAGGGTATTTTTCGCTTTAAAACGCACCCTGAAAAGCTAAAAGGAAACAGGAAGCATCCGCTTTGTCAGGCCAAAACCTGACAGGGAAAAAAAAAAAAAAAACCCACACACGACAGCAGCCTGTAAAAACGGCACGATCCTCTCCAGCTGCGCCTCCGGAGAACGCGGGTGCCCGACAAACGCCGCGCATCTCCTCCACGCCAACCTGCCAAGTTTTTCTTTGTTTCCAGACAGGCTCCGCTTCCACCCCCCCCCGCCCCTCCCAGCCTCGGGAGCGGGGAAGGGGCGACCCCCGGGTACCGTCAGCTCCCGAAGCCAGCGGGTCCCCCCGGGCGGGGCGGCGCAGACAATGGAGCCCGCCCGGCCCCACCCAGCCCGCGGCGGCCCGAGGGGTCGGTGCGGCCGCGGGGATGGTGGCGGGGGAAGGCGGCGGGGAAGGCCCGGAGGGGCGCGGTGCCCCCCGCCCCCGCGCCGTGGCTGCGCGGAGAAGGCGGGGAGTCGCCTCCCTTCTTTGTTCGGCGGCAGCGGCGGGGCCGCACTCGCGCACCGGGCGGGTCTCGGCGTCCCCCGCACCGCCCCCCGCACCGGGCACGGCGCCCCCCGCAGCCCCCCGGGTGGGCGCGGCCGCCCCCCGCCTCCGGCCGAACCCCCCCGGAGGACCCGCACGCCGCCAGCCCCGGCGTGCCCGCCGCAGCACCGCGCCCCAGCACCGCGCCGGACAACAACCCCCGCCCCCAGGACCCCCGGCCCCGCCGCCATGTGGGTGCCAGCGACCCCCCGAGCGGCCCCGCGGACCTGGAGCTGTTCCTGCCATTGGGGTCCATGCCCGAGAACGTGGCCGTGGTGGTCATGGCGGAGGGACGGGGGGAGCCGGAGTGAGGGAAGGGGGCTCTGTGCAGTGGCGGTCCCGCGGATGGTGCTGCCCCTCCCGCCCGGCCCTGCCGCTGCCGGTGACAACTGCGGCCGCCGCCCGCCCCACCGCGGGTTTTATACTCGCCTCAATCCCCGCCCACACCCAGCCTTCTCATTGGACTGTTCAAACGCAGTCGCCATCTTCTATTGGGCCGTGCACTGCCACTCTTCCCTCCGCCCCGCCCCGCCGTCTATCCCGGGGCGCCTCGCCTCACCGGCGGTAGCCTATTGGTTCAGCAATACGTCTGCTCCGCGCTGATTGGCCGCAGGCGGGCGGCGGCACCCTGTGCCGGGGATTGGCGGGAGGGCTGTCAGTCATCTCTGGCGCGCGCTGTGATTGGCTCAGCCGCGCCTGAGGCGAGACAAAAGTGCCCGCGGCACTGCCCCCGCTGAGGGCCCCGGGGAGCGGGGATTCCAGGGGGGGAGTCATGTCGCCCCCTCAGCGCCCTCCCGGCCCCCTCATGCCCCGCGGTCCCCACAGACACGGCCCAGGACACACCCTCGGGCCACCAACGCCCCTCCCTGGCACCCACTCGGCCACGCAAGGCCCGGTCCCTCGCACTCATGGCCGTGCCAGCCCTGCAGGTGCCTCACGAGGTGTCGTGGAGCAGCTCCAAGGTACAGGGATGAGCTACTTGAGAATCACGACCAGCCTTAATATTAACACAGGAAGAGCTGAACTGCTAAAACTACACACAGATTAGAAAAAATAAAACGCTGTGGTCCTAAGACCTATTAAAAAAAAAATCTTGTTTGTTTTTTGTTTGTTTTTTTTTTAAAAAAAGGCCAAACCAAGGCCATTGTGCTGCAGGTGTTGGCACAAGGCCGCCAACGTCAACGAGGGCAGAGACACAGCAAGGGCCTGCAGGACACAGGGCTAGGCAGGGAACACACCTCAAAAAACGTGGTGCAATAAAATAATTTGCAGTATCAGTGTATTATTTCGCAGCAGTGGATTACTGCATGAAAACTGAGTTTCAGCACATGGTATGGCAGCAGGAATACAAAGCCCAGCAACGCTGCTCACCTGCCACGAGGCTGCACGCTTTGTGTCCTGTATCTCCTGCAAACACCAGCACAAATCTCTCACAGCACAGTTTATCACATATTGGCTGTTGACCCATCTGCCAAACCCACCTCTGGTTTGGTGACTGGGAGCTTCCTGAACTCCCTCCGACTTCCACACACACAGATGCTTCCTTGCTCATCACTTTTGCTGCAAAATCTACACATCAGAACCTGCCACTGCAAATATTATTTCAATGAGCACTCGGATAAAAGAGGCAAGTTCCATCCATCTCTCCCAGTCTGAACTAACGACCAGCCTTAATATCCCCATTTTCTCTGGAAAGTATTTCTTTGTGGTCTGGAAAACACAAAGATTGTGCCACTTCACTCTATGTACAACATGAGATGTCCAGTGTCTGAATTATCACCAGCCTTAATATTACCACAGGGAAGAGTGGAACTGCTAAAACTACACACAGGACCACAGTGTTTTATTTCTTCTAGTATAGAATCCATAAAAAAAAATTTATTTTTTTTTTTCAAAAAAGCTCCAGCCACTATTTAGATCCCCAGGGAATTCTCTGTTGCGTCACATCTTTCTAGAGGTAGATTAAAGGGAAATTTTAAGTAAGATGACACAGTTGTTTTAATTCTATTATCCCTTAGGCTTGGGCATTAAGAAGTCAAATGACACCTACCTGCACACAGGTAGAGCATCTGCTCTCTCGGGAACTTGCAGAAATATTTTGTCATCTAAATGCTTTTTATTCAAACCCACAGAATTTGACTCTTAAATTTGTACCCCTGAGACACAAAGAGCCCTTTTTTTTTTTTTTAAAGTCAAGATGAAGAAAAACCCGTTCCCTCTGACAAAGCCGGTTTTAACACACAGCTTTAAAATTCTAAACCTTCAGTGTTTTCCAAGGGGCTGCACTGATCTCTCACAGTCCAGGCTGCAGGGTGGCCTTTAAATCAGCTGCTTTGCTGATTATTCATCCATAACACGAAGGGCTTTATGAAGATGGCTACAGAAACTGGGCTTAGGATCCATCTCAGGATGGTGACATTCGACCAGAGCAATTCTCAGCAGCTGTTTGAAAGGCTCAGACACCAAACAATTCCACCTGTTGTTGAAATTCCACCAGCAAGGAATGCAAGAAGCATCTGGAAGTCTGAACAAGACTCCAGGAAGTGCAAGGGTTAGGCAAGGAGAGATAGCACTGGTTTGAGAAAAGCCTCAGCTTGGTCATCCTCTCGTGACCCAGAGTTTCTTCCTGCCAGGCTCTGCTACTTACAGCAGTCACAAAGAGCATTCCTGCTTTATTCCAAGCACATGGTACAAAAAAAAAAAAAAAGATGTTTTGACTCAGTTTTCTCTTCTTTCCTCATTTCTTTCACAGCTGAAGGTAAAGTGTCAGCTAAAAAATACCCCTTGCCACAGCTGGATTTGCTCCATGGAAGATGGTATCCTACACATCCAACAGTTTGTCCTACTGAGCTGATGCTGTCGTTTGCAAGGGTTCTGGAAGTTGCTCTTGTGCCTCTCTACATCTTCAGGAAAAGTTCCCAACAGTCAATTCCTGTTTAGGAAGGAGGACTGAACCACAATGTCCAGGCTTCTCTCAGAGCTGCAGAGATGTAGCTCTGAACACAAAAAGCAGAGGGGTCAACTCATGCTGCTGTTCTTGTCTGGGAATCCAGCACTACCAGTGTCCTCCAAAGTGCTGCTCCTTATTGGAAAAACAGGCATCTCTGAAAGGGTAAGTCAGTGGCCCAAAGAGCTTTCATTCCAATTTTTGTCTTGCTTGAGTTTGCCTAAACTCAAGGAAAGTTTTCTTAATCAACTGATCCTTCAAGAGCCCTTGCAGGGCATCAGATGTACTTTGATGCTGGAAGGGGGGAGACCTAAATCACCAAAACCAGCACAAAATTCACCACAAAGGGTGAATCCTTTGAACCCAAGTCTCCCCGAAGAATATTCCTTTCTAAAGAAGAAACACTATTTACTATTTGTACAAATAATTTGTACATTTTAACAACCTTAGTCTTTCATCAGCGCTCCAAAGTCAGTCTCATATTGGGATTGTTTAAACCTACAGGTCTTCCCACAGACCCCATTCCTCCTGCAGCTCCTCACCAACTCATCCCTTGTCCTTCTCCAGCACCTGCTGCCCTTCCCTTCTGGGATCTCTGCTGACTCTCAGCCACTCCTTTCCCAGCACCACCAGCCACACCTCACCCCTCCCATGCAAACTGAAATTCTTCAGGGACAAGGGTTAAAACTCTTCCCTCAAAGGGACTCCAACCACTCCATAAATACCAGCTGGGGCTCCCAGCACCTCCATGTTAGAATAAGACCACTATCCCATGGAGTTAGGGAAGGAACCAGGGAACCCCTGTAATTAAGCATCTTGAGGGTCAACCAAAAACTGAAAACAGGGATCAAAATTCCATCTTTCATTTATCCTCACACTCCTACATCCTAAACACCCAGGAGAAGTGCTGTGCCACCAATTCATTCTGACACTAAGCACAAAAAAGCGAGACAAATTCCAGGATTAAATTATTCCCTATCAGAACACATTTAGTTTGGCAACTGGTTACAGCCAGAATGAACAAACCTCAATAATCCAGAGAATGAACTGTATTAATTAGCATGATAATATAATTAAGAGTGATCCAAGTTATTTGCTTTCAGATTGTCTTTTAGTACTCCACAGTACTAAAAGTCCATAGTCCATCACAGCAGCTCACACACTGTACTCAGGAGAGGCCACTATCTAAAACTCTAAGAAAAATATTTCAATTTATTGTTCACTTTAATTTAATAGATGATGATCAAGGAAGCATCTCATTTTTCATTTTCAGCTTTGAAAACAAATTGCTATTCCTTAGAAATCCAGTTATTTCCAACTGGCTGAAGCCTAGGAAGTCTCCTCTCTTGGAGGCAGTCACATTATTCCTTTTCATTAATGTTGCAACAACAGACACAATAGAACCAGTATCCAACAGACAAACAACAGCACTTATGTTACACTGACTCTGAAGTAATGAAGTGAAGGTACTGGAGAGGAATATTCCTGCTAGAAAATAATCTCACTTTGACCTTAACCCTTGCAGAGATGCTGTACCTGCTCTGATATTTAGTTATCTTGGAGCAGCAATTACCTTAGTGTTACTTCAGGGATTTTTCTTTTGTTGAGGACACCTCCATATGCCAGGACAGGAATCCCTCTCATGTTACCCCTTGGAGTATTTCCTTACACTGTTGGCACTTCAGCAGATTCTATTTCAGAGCAGCCCTCGACTCCCAGAACCCCCTTTGAACCAGCACTTCAGGGCACTCAACACTGACCCTTCACAAGAGCCCCCTCTGGAGGGGTGTGATCCCCAGGGTGCAGATTTTCACACTGATTTTCAGGTGTCATTATCTGCCCTGTACATGAATAAAAACGTCTCACTAAAGGTACCTGAAACAAAGTTTTGGTTCCACCTTTCAAAAGGTCCTGTCCATTCCACAACTGAAGCTGTGTGAGGGACTGGAGCCTCACCATACCCTGAAGGCAGGGCCTTACCACCCACAGGACTCACCAGGGCATTGCATCCCAATTATGACTTACTCCATTCTTTTTCACTTTAAAGCCATGGGAGGAATATTAACTAAATTGCACAGCAATCACTTCAGAACACATTATTTGAAAATTGTGGGTAATAATATAATTTGCCCAGGCTCTTGAAAGATCCCAGCTGTTTAATAAACATGAAAAACTTACCTCCCAACCAGCCTGACAGGACCTCTTTGCCCAGTTTCTCTTTATCCTCCAACACAAGGACTTCTAGCAGTCCCTGTAGCTACCAGTGCAAACATGAGAATGCCACAAATCAAGCCAGGCTGAACCAAAAATTTGATCCAAATTTTTCATATCACTTCCAAATCATCATCCCTGGCAGTAGCTTCCTTAGAGGAGACAGTCACAGCAAAACCACTGAGGTTCCAGCAATCAGGAATCCACAGGTAAAATTTCTGACACCAGAAGAAC